AGAGGCCGAAGAGGAATCCAAGAAGCAAAATCGAAAGGGCTTTGGGAGCCCGCGCCCGAAACATTGCCGCCGTACCACCAAGGGGGCCCCCCAAGACACCCCCAAGACATCCCCAAGACGCCCCAAGAGGCCCAGAAGCTGCTCCAAGAGGCCCCCGAGAGGCCTCCCAAGAGGCCCCCAAAAGGCCCCTCCAGAAGCCTGCAAAGTCTCAGCAGACTGTTTGAGGACTGAACGCCAAAGACCCCCAGGCTCCAAACAAATCTGCCCCCCTACCACACGCATAGTGCCCTCAACAGACCCCCATGAGACACCCATCAATAGCCACTTGGGACGCCCCGAGCATGAATCAGTCGCCAAACAACTCTTCGCCTGCACGTGCGTCACACTCCTGCGGAGCGGCCGATAATGCGCCGCCGGCGTCTTCGATTCCGGCCGCTCCCGCCTGCGGTGTGGGCCATGCGCGACCGCTCTGCCCCCGACATGCGACGTCCTGATTTTTTCAGGACGGCGTCCACGGAAATCCCGACCCTTTCCCTGGGGCTGGCTTGTCATCCTGAATCGTTTGCTGACGGTCCCGCTGGGCCCGGCGAGGGCCCCCAGGGGCCAACAAAAATAGCGAAGCACTTGCCGCCCTGATTTTTTGTTTTACGACGCGAGCATGTCTGGGCCTGAGTGTTTGGCAGAATTTGCAGGTGCCTGGTCAGAAGCTCCCTGGAGCTGTTCCTCCCAGCGGGCGCCACTCTGGCGGCGGTCCCTCGTGGCCCTGCCCAGCGGGCAGCGACCGAGAGAGTCCAAGATGGCCCCGGGGAAACCCAGGAGGGCCCCAAGACGGTTCAAGAGAGCCCCGAGAGGGCTGCAAGGCGGCCCAAGAGGGCTCCGAAATGTACGCAGGGCCTAAGTGGCCCCGAGACGCCCCAAGATCGCTCCAGGCTCACTCCCACGGAGGACTCCAAGAGGCCCAAATCATTCAATCCAACGCTTGAAAACATCTTAGCGGTCTCGTCTTTTCTTGCTTTTCACGCGCCAGGACGGCCCCAGGACCACCCCAAGACGGCCCAAGAGGCCTCCAACAGAGCCCAAGCACGGCCCAAAAGCGCCCAAGAGGCAGCCCAAGAAGGCCCAAGAGCCACACCCCCGAGGGCCCCAAGAAGTGGAAGCAAAGAAGCCTTCGGAGCCTTCGTTGAATTCGATCCCCCAAGCCCTGAACACGCCCCCAAGGAGGCACACGGAGGCACCTGTAGACTCCTGGAGGCTCCAGGAAGCCCCCAAAAAGTGCCACCAGCAGGCCCTCGGTAGGTTCCCAGAGAGACCAGGAAGCCTCCCAGATCAGGCTCTGGGAAGGGGCCCAAGGACACACAAATAAACACATACAAATCCCAAGATGTCCCATATGTTTCAATATTTTCTGGGCTTTCGTCTTCCCCCCCACTTCCCATATTTTCCCATATTTTCCAGGGAGTCGACGACTAATTGTGTCTGTGTGCTTGCCTCTCCCCTCCTGACACTTGTCCGCGAACCAGTAACGGTGGCGGGGTTGACCGAAAACCGCTAGATTCGCCGTCCCCTGTGGCTTGCCACAGGGGTGCGCGGCGTGTCACATGTCAGGTACAGCCGGGGCGTTGACCTAAGGAACCCTAAATAAGGAACGAGGACCCTCTTTTCCATAAATGGAACTTCGATTTCCGATCGAAAACATAAGGAAAACCTGAGGCAAGCTGTGAAACACTTAAGGAACGCGGAGCCCCTCCCCAACGAAAAGGGTTCCTTCTTCAAGGCCCCGACTGTAAAGACCCGTAAACGTCTCACGACACTGGCCTTCCCGCTCCAAACGGCCCCAGGGTGGCATCCGAGACGGCCAAGAGGGCATCCAAGATGGCGGCGACGGCCCCGAGAGGGCCCACGATAGCGCCAAGAGGTCTCCAAGACGGGCCGAGATGCGCCTACGATGGCCCAAGATGGCCTCAAGATCGCACGAGACGGCCCAAGAGGTCTCCACGAGGACCTCTAGGAAGGCCCGAAGAAACCAAAATCATTGATCCCCTAAGGCGTTTGGAAGATTTGGGCGTTTGCTCCATCTCGACTTTCCGAGTGCCCAGGACGGCCCCAAGAGGCCACAAAGCTGGCCCCAGGAGCGCCCAAGAGGCCTCCGAGATGGCCCCCTGACAGCCCACGGGGCCCCCAAGATGGCGCCAAGAGGGCCCGACGACGGCCCAGGAGACCTCCGAGACGCCCAGGATGGCCTCCAACACGGCCCGAAAGCGCCCACAGAGGGGCCCAGGTCGGACCAGAGAGGCCCCCAAGACAGCGTCAGGCGGCGTCAGGCGGGCCAGGAACGCCCTTAGACGGCCCAAACCCCAAGGAGCCCCAAAAGGCCCCAAGGGGCCCAAGGACGCCCACAACAGGCCTCAAAGAGTACCCAAGGAAGCTCCCAGAAAGCCCCAAGAGGGCCCCAGGAAGCTCCCAAGAGGCCTTCTCCTCCTCCTCCTCCTCCTCCTCCTCCTCCTCCTCATCCTCCTGTTTCCTCCCTCTCCTCATCTCCTTCTCTCCCCCACGTGTTTCCCGAAGGGGTTCCACACCGGCTGGGGGAACACATAGTCCAATAGTTTGGCCAAACTTCGACTCAACGTTTGGCCGCATGGGCGGTTTCAAATACAGGGGGCGATGGTGATTCGCCGTAGGCGTCTTCGATCTTGATTTATCAGTGGGGTGCTAGCGAGCCACCCGGAACATAAGGGTCTCATTGCCCAAATCGCCTCCCAGATGGGCCAGATACAAGCGCAAGGGACCGAGTCCCTCTTGGAGCCCCGTTCTTTAGACCAGCCGCCCTCATCGACAGAACGAACCCGCGCGTCCAAAATCTGAAGGAACACCAGGGGGGCTCGCCGCCATGCAAACCAAAGGAACAACCGAACCTCTTTTGAAAAGCACATGTTCCTCATTCAAGCCGGATCATGTAGCCCAAGAGTGCCTCCAAGACGACCGAGATAGTCCAAGATGGCCTCCAAGACGGTCTCCAGATGCCACCAAGACGGCCAGGATGGCCGCAAGACAGCCCAGGATGCTTCCAACCAAGGGGGGTCCACAACGACTGGGGGAACACACAGTCCAACAGGTTGTCCAGATTTCGGCTCAATTTTCATATGCATGGGCGGCTCCACATAACATAGCATTAAATCGGGCGTGTCCCTCTACAGGGGAAATCTTCCAACATAGTAAAAGAAAGATGGGGACGATGTTTTGGGTGTTGTTTGAGAATTTGGCGGTCTGTTTTTAGTATGTTAAAACATTTCGTCCAAAATTCGCATGCAGGGGGACTGGCCCGACCTAAAAATAGCAGGGGGGGAGCAGTGATCCGCCGGAGGTGTCTTCGATACTTCGGAGAGGCCTTCGGACGACTCCCAGCAGGGCAGCTGGCATGCGCCCTGCGCTACGACCCTCGATGCTGCGCGCCACTTCGCCAAACTCCCAGGGAGCGGCCGGTGATGCGCCGTCGGCGTCCTCGTCCAGTTTATAAAGGCCGAGGCACGAACGGAAACGTACAGTCATCGGCCTGACCTAAGGAACGATAAATAAGGAGCGAAGCCCCTTTTTATCCAAAGGAATAACGCATAAGGAACAATAAATAATACATAACGCATAAGGAACTCTAAATAACGCATGTGAGATCTAAGGAACGACCGAGCCCCTTTTGAAAAGCAAGTGTTCCTTGGTCAAGCCGCTCACTGTACGACACGGGGCCACAACAGCTGCAACGAACGGCGGGGCAGCCGGGGAGGCACGCCTCGACACGGAAGTGGGGAGACGTGGTGGCGACAGGCGAGGGGTGGGGAAGCGCAACCTCGGCGGGGGCGGCGGCGCCAGTCCACAGGAATGGCAAGGGGAGGGTGCCTGCCATCGCTCGGACGTCCATTCCCTGTGTTTGTTTGGTTTCGTGCGTGGTTTTTTCGCCAAATGGTCAAGGATGCTCCTCGATGGTCCTCGCCGAAAGAAACATGCACACGTCCGAGCGATGCCAAGGGTGGGGACGGGGAGGGCGAGGAGCGGCAGGGGCGCAGGGTGGCCAGAGGAGGGGGCGAGAGGGCCGAGGAGGGAGGGAGGCGGAGAGGTCTCTTCGCGGGCGGAGGGGGAGGGAGGAGGGAGGAGGGAGGAGGGGGGAGGGGGCGAGAGCACCGAGGAGGGAGGAGGAGGGCAGAGAGGCCTCTTCGCGGGCGGAGGGGGAGAGCACGACGCGAGGGAACGCCCCCGCGACGAGCTTCCCACGCTGGGCGCGCGTGGCGCTCCACTGCCTTAAAATGCCAGGGCCGCCTCTGCGTCCCTTGCTGTCCTCGGGTACGGTAGGTTCCTGCGGCGCCGGCGCGCGCCAAGGTCTTTGACACCGTGTCGATCGTTCAACCTCGAATTGATCACGGCCTCGATCGTTCAGGGTTGAATGAAATCTTGTCCAGTGGCGTTACTGTGTTCATTCGATCGTTCAACCCTGAATTGATCACGGCCTCGATCGTTCAAGGTTCAATTCGATCTTGTCCAGTGGCGCTGCTGTGTTCATCGCTGCTTCCGCGTCGCAGATCTCAAACCTCAAACGCCTTCGCCGGCGTCGCCGGCGCGCCAGCGCCGCACGACCCAAGCGTATGCCCAGGTCCCTGGGCAGTGGCCCACCTCCCTTGTGCTTCTTGCCGACGGCATGCGGCCTGGGCCTGCGAGCCACCTGCCTCACGACTTCAGGATCTCGTGGTCGTCGTGCAGCAGGAACTTGGCCCCGAGGAAGAGCGATGCCAGTCCGAGGGCGTTCGTCGCAAGCACGCCGTACACGACGAAGACCACGTTGCCAGCAAAGGCCCTCGTTAGGTGCCAAGAGCCGCTCACGACCAAGCCAGAGGCCAGCATACACAGGTTCAAGACCCAAAGCGAGATGGCTTCAACATTGTTGAGCAGCTCAAAGCGATACGGAAGGTGCCTTAGGTGCCAGGCGGTGAACGAGAACATGAGGCCCAGGATGAGACTCAACTGCAGCCCCGGGCAGTACGAGACTGGCGCCACAGCCACAGCACTCTTGAGGATAATGTTCTTCGCGAGGCGATTGGCCTCCCACCCCTGACACTCTGGGCGATCGCCGGGTGCGCCAAAGAGGGGGGGCCAGGAAGAGGGGGAGGGGGGGGGGGAGGAGGGGGAGGCGGAGGAGGAGGAGGAGGAGGAGGAGGAGGAGGAGGAGGAGGAGGAGGAGGAGGAGGAGGAGGAGGAGGAGGAGGAGGAGAAGGAGGAGGAGGAGGCGGAGGAGGGGGGGGGCGCCTCGTCGCCCGAGGCACCCTTGCGCGGACCAGGGAAGGCCATCAGTCATATGAACTCCGGGGGACCCCGCGGCCCCTGCGATGATATAGCCGCCCGCCCTCAGGCCTGACCCCCCTCTTGGACGCACACGAGATAGGAGGCCGTGAGGAATCGCAGGAACTGGTCCTGCCCCTCTCCTCGACGGCGCTGGAGAAGCCGCGCCCACAGAACGGGCCCAACGGCGATCACCAGCGCCAGGACTGGCGCCCTCAGGGCCACGTGGAGCAGGCGCGCCTCGCAGCTCTCGGACGTGGAATACACCTGGGAGGGCAGGTGGCGATGACCCAGGCCAAGACCGCGCGCAGAAACGTCGGGCCCGACCTTGGTAGTCTTCCATCTTGGCCATCGTCAATTCGTGGACCCTCCTCGTGAATCGGCGAGGGCAAGCATGGACCATTACCAAGATCGACGTCGACAAGATCCCAAGGCATCATGTAGAGAACTAGCCGATAACATAGACACTACACCGGAGAAGAACCCTAATCAGTGGATGGTCCGAAAGTTTTGCAAGCACCATGCCTGGCCGCAGTTTCGCAAGAGGATCCAACGAGACTAACTCATTGCTTGCCCTTGCGTGTTGGAAGGGTTGTGGCATCCTCGCCATTTCGGGCATCCGTCGGCTCAAAATGGCTTAGGAGGCTTCCGATAGGGCACCAGAACCGCGCCCGAGGGGCCCAAGATGACCCAGGCGGGCCTGCACGAGGGGCCCAAGATGAACCAGGCGGGCCTGCACGAGGGGCCCGAGATGACACAGGCGGGCCTCTGGAGGTACCCTCGACGGCCTGAGAGGGCCCCTCGACGACTCCAAAGGGCCACAACACGTCCCACAACGGCCCGGAGAGAACCTCCGAGATGCTGCTTGAAAGGGCCGCAAGACTGCCCAAGATAACCCCATGACGGCCGAACAAGACCCCAAGGGCCCCCCACGACTGCCCCACGGGAGACCACACAAATCCCCAGACGACCGAAAAGACCCAGGTAAAATCCGTACGAAGGGCGTCACACGTTACGCCATTCGTCGGCTTCCTCCTCTTGGCCTTCTTCTTCATGATCATCATCATCATCATCAGCAGCAGCATCATCATCATCACCATCATCATCATCATCATCATCAGAAGCAGCAGCATCACCATCGTCATCGTCATCATCGTCATCGCCATCATGTATTCCATAGCTTATGTGTATGTGTGTAATACAGATATCGAGATTGATCAAGAGGTAAAGACATATAGATATTGCATAGCGCGGGAAAGAAACACAACCATGAAAAACGATATATTATGTATGGCCTGGCGGGGGAAAACGAAAGAGTGAGACAGGTATAAAGAAACACCCAGAGAGAGAGAGAGGCAAAGAGAAAGAGAGAGAGATGGCAATGAAGAGAGAGCGAGAGATAATGAAAAGCACGGAGAATCAAACATAACGATTCGATTATGTATCGCGCATCAAAGAATGAAGCAGATATCAAGAACTACAAGAGAACAAGAGAGAGAGAGACAGAGAGAACGAGAAAGAGATGGGAATGTGAGAGAGAGGGAGAGATTGCATAACACAGGAAAAACATCAGCACCAGAAAAAGAGAAAGAGAGAAAGAGAGGGAGACATAACAAGAGAAAGAGAGAGGGCGCCCACCGAAAACCGCCGGCTACTTTCGCCAATCTCTTGAGGGGGCGCCCACCGAAAGCCGCCCACTGAGAGCCGCCCACCGAAATCGGCCGGCTACTTTCGCCAATCTATTCTATGTCCGCAAGGACCCCTTCAGTGTAAACACTGATTGGGGAGTAACAGTTCGGAAGTCCGCGCGGATTTCATGGAGCGGCACTGGACCCCCCCTCCCTGGCGCGCGGTGCGCGCCAGGGGCGGCGCCGGAGGCGCCGCTGGGGGAGTCCAGCGCCGATGCAAGAACACCGCGCAGACCTCAGAGCTGTTATGTTTACGCCATCGTTCATTTCCTATCCTTGCCATGATCGTCGTTCTTCCTCCCTCGGACACCATCAGGAAACTCCCGGAGGCGTCCTCGGCCTGCGTGTGGTAGCACGGCACCGCAAGTGCGCAAGCCGCCGCGATGCCGGGCAGGTACTGGTTGCCCGAGACCACTCCGAGAGTCATCAGGTCCTCAGGAGAGCCCAGAATCGAAACGATAAGTCAGATCGGTGATAGAAATCGATGTGGTCGGCGGAAATCGGCAGCCAAGTCGGGAGAAGTCGAATCGGCGGAAATCGGCGGCCTAGTAAGGCCTCCACATTGAGAAGTCGGACTCCAAATCGGAATCCGAAGTCGAATCGAATCTGAAGCCATCGATATCAAATCGAACCGAATCGGAGGAGTCGAACTGAGAACTGGGTCCTCCGCGAGGCTGGAGTCCATGCCCCGACAGCGGCGAACGACGCATATGCTGCCCAGCACCTGGGGGAACAAGAAGTTACCGACACCGCTACTCCCCGGACCTTTCCCGGGGTGCGTTCTGACCAGAATTTCGAAGCGAATCCAGCGGTGGCAACGAGGGTCTCCCAGGAGACCCATAACGGCGAAAACGAAGCAAGGGTAGCGGTTGAGTAGGGCTGGGGGGTCAGGTCTGCAGCACACCCCAAACGGATGTCATGGTGCGCAACCAACCTGTGAGGTCAAGCTGAAATTGTTTGACCACCTTGACGTCTTTTTGGGTGGTCCTGCAGAGGAAGGCGCTCTCTGACCCTCGGTCCTAATCAAGGTAGCCGTATCGGTACCTGTTCCTTCCCTGAGCACCAGGGCGGCGGCGGCAAGGACGACGGCTGGGTTCGCTAACGACACCACCAGCAGCTCGTTGAGCGAGAGCACCCGCCCGAGCAGGCAGTCAGCGCTCGAAGACCAGGTCGCCTCGCCCGACTGCGTGGCATCCGAGAAGAGACCCAACCGCTCCCTCGTTCGCTCACTCAGGTCACGATACGCGTCCGACGTAGCCAACGAAGATATCCGCCAGCGTGACTGCGAGGCACGATTTGGGGTGTCCTCAAGTCCCTTGCTCAGTCCCGTGAGCCTCAATCCTCAACCCCAAAGTTACCTAACAGCTTTTGCTGATAGGTTTCTAGTGGTCTCAAAAGAGAGCAGCAGATGACTCCACAGGGGGGTCGGGGCGGGACCCGGGGCGGTGCCGCCGAAGCCCAAATCGCTTGGGACATCCTCGCAAAATCGCTCTTGGCGCTGCTAGAACTCCATCCCCGGCGTACATTTTGGATGCCCGGAGCCAACTGTAGGCCACTTCGTGCTCTTCGACTTCCCAGAACTCCATTCCCGGGCCACATTTTGGATGCCCGGAGCCAACTGTAGGCCACTTCGTGCTCTTCGATTCCCAGAACTCCATTCCCGGGCCACATTTTGGATGCCCGGAGCCAACTGTAGGCCACTTCGTGCTCTTCGAAGTTCCCAGAACTCCATTCCTGGGCATGATTTTGAATGCCCGGAGCCAACTGTAGGCCACTTCGTGTTCTTCTAGTTCCCAGAACTCCATTCCTGGGCCACATTTTGAATGCTGAGGCAGGCTGATGCTGCGGCCGAGGCAGGCTGAGGCTGAGGCAGGCTGAGGCTGAGGCCGAGGCTGAAGGCAGACTGAGGCTGAGGCTGAAGCAGACTGAGGCTGAGGCTGAGGCAGGCTGAGGCTGAGGCTGAGCAGGCTGATGCTGAGGCAGGCTGAGGCTGAGGCTGAGGCTGATGCAGGCTGAGGCTGAGGCAGGCTGAGGCTGAGGCCGAGGCTGAAGGCAGACTGAGGCTGAGGCTGAAGCAGGCTGAGGCTGAGGCTGAGGCAGGCTGAGGCTGAGGCAGGCTGAGGCTGAGGCTGAGGCAGGCTGAGGCTGAGGCTGTGACTGCGACTGCCGTTGCCGCTGCGACTGTCATCGCGAATGCGACTACGACTGCGAGAACAGCAGAATTCGACAACTGAAATTTCATCTGAATCTTAAGGGGAATGCTTTCAGATATGCTTCTACACATCGCTGTTAGGTTGCTTTGCCGGGATAATTTTTTGTTGAAACAATGCCTTGACCCCAAACTTCTTACATGTCCTGGGGAAACTGGCGCGCCCGGGACGTCTTCCCGCATGAGCCCTTCAGGCCCACACAAGGGTCCAGAGACGGGCCAAGAGGGCCCCGAGGGGCCTATCAGAGACCAGAGCTTGACCAAAATGGTGCTTTTCGTTTTCGTGTTGCCTTCGTTTTCCCTCGCCTTCTCTCCAATCCGCCTTCGCTGCGAACCGAAATCGAAACGAAAACTGCCCACGAAATCGACGAAACAACGTTCACGTCGAGCCGAGTCGCCCAGCAGTCGGTCCGAGGCATGGTGGCGGGATGGGCCGAAGGCCACTGGACCTGGCCCGGCACAGAAACGGAAAGAGCGCTTCAGAAACAGAAACCGAAATTACTCACACCACCGTTCGTGCTGGGAGCCTTGGCGTTGAGAGCTTGTTACGTCACCCCTCGCTCTTGGGAGCCTTGGTGTTCAGAGATTGTTGCGTTGCCGCCCGTTCCTGAGCCTTGGCTAGGCCTTGGTGTCAGGATCTTGTTACGTCACCGCTTTCTGCTGGGAGCCTTGGTCTTATCAGCTTGTTTACGTCACCGTTCGCTCTTGGGAGCCTTGGCGTGGTGAGCTTTTTGCGTTACCGATCGCTATTTATTTGGCGTCTCTGGGCCTTCTTGGGAGTCCTATTGGGGCCCTTTGGGAGCCCTTTTGGGGGCCTCTTGGGGGCCTCCTGGGGCTTCTTGGGGGGCCTCCTGGGAGCCTCTTGGGGCGAAAGGCTCGACTTTTCGGTTCGTGGTCCCCCTCTTGGGGTCGTCTTGGGGTTCTCTTGGACTGTCTTGGGCGCTTTGGGGGTCGTTTTGGCGCTCTCTTGGGTTGTTTTGGGAGCGTCTTGGAGCCTTGCATGCTAAAACTGTATCTTTTCCCATAGGAAACTAATTATTTTGGCCTCTTGGTGGCCTCTTGGGACGCCTCTTAGGGGGCCTCTTGGAGATTCTTGGGGGGCTCTTGGGGCCTCCTGGGAGCTTCTTGGGGCGAAAGGCTCGACTTTTCGGTTCGTGGTCCCCCTCTTGGGGCCGTCTTGGGGCCCTCTTGGGCCGTCTTGGGCGCCTCTTGGGGGCCTCTTGGGCCGTCTTGGGGCGGTTTGAGGGGCCTCTTGGGGTGTCGTCGACGCCGTGAAAGCCGAAAAGCCGTAGATGCTAAAAATGCACGCACTCTTCAGAACAATTAATGATTTTGGCCTCTTGGGGCCCTCTTGGGACGCCCCTTGGGCGCCTCTTGGGGGCCTCTTGGGCCGTCTTGGGCGGTCTTGGGCTCTCTTAGAGCGCTCTTGGGCCGTCTTGGGGGGGAACCCGGAAAACATGCAAAAACCCGAGGGAAACCTGAAAACGGCCATTAACACCCATTCCCTCCCCCTACCCCCCTTCTGCACTCCCCTTTCGGGGCTTCGCCCTACACCAAAACGTCATCACTCGTACCTCGCTCTTTCCGTTACCTGGGCCGGCACAGAAACGGAAAGAGCGCTTCAGAAACAGAAACCGAAATTACTCACACCACCGTTCGTGCTGGGAGCCTTGGCGTTGAGGGCTTGTTACGTCACCCCTCGCTCTTGGGAGCCTTGGTGTTCAGAGATTGTTGCGTTGCCGCCCGTTCCTGAACCTTGGCTGGGCCTTGGTATCAGGAACTTGTTACGTCACCGCTCTCTGCTGGGAGCCTTGGTCTTATCAGCTTGTTTACGTCACCGTTCGCTCTTGGGAGCATTGGTGTGAAGAGCTTTTTGCGTTACCGATCGCTTTTTATCACCTAACAGCGAAAACTGATAGGTGGGGTCACAAGAGAGCATCATGACTCCCCAGGGGGGTCTGGGCGGGATCCGGACGGGATCCGGGGACTCTTTTTTTAGCCAACGGTAACGCACTTCGTGGTCTTCGAGTTCCCAGAACTCCATTCCTGGGCATGATTTTGAATGCCCGGAGCCAACTGTAGGCCACTTCGTGGTCTTCAAATTCCCAGAACTCCATTCCTGGGCATGATTTTGAACGCCCGGAGCCAACTGTAGGCCACTTCGTGGTCTCCGAATTCCCAGAACTCCATTCCTGGGCATGATTTTGAATGCCTGGAGCCATCTGTAAGCAACTTCGTGGTCTTCGAGTTCCCAGAACTCCATTCCTGGGCATGATTTTGAATGCCCGGAGCCAACTGTAGGCCACTTCGTGTTCTTCCAGTTCCCAGAACTCCACTCCCGGGGCACATTTTGAATGCTGAGGCAGGCTGAGGCTGAGGCTGAGGCAGGCTGAAGCTGATGCCGAGGCTGAAGGCAGACTGAGGCTGAGGCTGAAGCAGGCTGAGGCTGAGGCTGAGGCAGGCTGAGGCTGAGGCTGAGGCAGGCTGAGGCTAAGGCAGGCTGAGGCTGAGGCTGAGGCTGATGCTGGCTGAGGCTGAGGCAGGCTGAGGCCAAGGCTGAAGGCAGACTGAGGCTAAGGCTGAAGCAGGCTGAGGCTGAGGCTGAGGCAGGCTGAGGCTGAGGCTGAGGCTGAGGCAGGCTGAGGCTGAGGCGGGCTGAGGCTGAGGCTGAGGCTGAGGCTGAGGCAGGCTGAGGCTGAGGCAGGCTGAGACTGAGGTCGAGGCTGAATGCAGACTGAGAATGAGGCTGAAGCAGGCTGAGGCTGAGGCTGAGGCAGGCTGATGCTGAGGCTGAGGCAGGCTGAGCTGAGGCTGATGCAGGCTGAGGCTGAGGCAGGCTGAGGCTGAGGCCGAGGCTGAAGGCAGACTGAGGCTGAGGCTGAAGCAGGCTGAGGCTGAGGCTGAGGCTGAGCAGGCTGAGGCTGAGGCAGGCTGAGGCTGAGGCTGAGGCTGAGGCAGGCTGAGGCTGAGGCTGAGGCTGAGGCTGAGGCTGAGGCTGCAGGCTGAGGCTGAGGCAGGCTGAGGCTGAGGCCGAGGCTGAAGGCAGACTGAGGCTGAGGCTGAAGGCTGAGGCTGAGGCAGGCTGAGGCTGAGGGCTGAGGCTGAGGCAGGCTGAGGCTGAAGGCAGACTGAGGAGGCTGAAGCAGGCTGAGGCTGAGGCTGAGGCAGGCTGAGGCTGAGGCAGGCTGAGGCTGAGGCTGAGGCTGAGGCAGACTGAGGCTGAGGCCGAGGCTGAGGTTGAGGCAGGCTGAGGCTGAGGCTCAGGCAGGCTGAGGCTGAGGCTGAGGCTGAGGCCGATGCGGGCTGAGGCTGAGGCATGCTGAGGCTGAGGCCGAGGCTGAAGGCAGACTAAGGCTGAGGCTGAAGCAGGCTGAGGCTGAGGCTGAGGCAGGCTGAGGCTGAGGCTGAGGCAGGCTGATGCTAACGCAGGCCGAGGCTGAGGCTGGGGCTGATGCAGGCTGAGGCTGAGGCTGGAGGCAGGCTGCGGCCGAGGCTGAAGGCAGACTGAGGCTGAGGCTGAGGCAGGCTGAGGCTGAGGCTGAGGCAGGCTGAGGCTGAGGCTGAGGCATGCTGAGGCTGAGGCAGGCTGAGGCTGAGGCTGAGGCTGAGGCGGGCTGAGGCTGAGGCCGAGGCTGAAGGCAGACTGAGGCTGAGGCTGAAGCAGGCTGAGGCTGAGGCTGAGGCTGAGGCTGACGCAGGCTGAGGCTGAGGCTGATGCAGGCTGATGCTGAGGCAGGCTGAGGCTGAGGCCGAGGCTGATGCAGGCTGAGGCTGAGGCAGCCTGAGGCTGAGGCCGAGGCTGAAGGCAAACTGAGGCTGAGGCTGAAGCTGGCCGAGGCTGAGGCTGAGGCAGGCTGATGCTGAGGCTGAGGCAGGCTGATGCTGAGGCAGGCTGAGGCTGAGGCTGAGGCTGAGGCCGATGCGGGCTGAGGCTGAGGCAGGCTGAGGCTGAGGCCGAGGCTGAAGGCAGACTGAGGCTGAGCAGGCTGAGGCTGAGGCTGAGGCAGGCTGAGGCTGAGGCTGAGGCAGGCTGATGCTGAGGCAGGCTGAGGCTGAGGCTGAGGCTGATGCAG